TTGTCATCTCTCTAACCACACCCTCACTTCCTCTCTAAAAATGTGATCAATGCTTAGGTATTAGCCATCAGTGAATGTGATACTCATCTGAGATTCCACATGAACAAGGAATCTGTGCAGTTCTGAATGTGAGCATGGTTCCCACTCCAGTGACCCACCACAGGTAATCAGGGAGCTCTGAGGGTGTGAAGCTGCACACAGTGATTTCCTTGAGATCCAGCTACACTTCATACCCTCTTATGCAGTCACAAAGTTCCTTCTGTCTCAGCACACAAGGCTCCAACATTCATGAGATGTGCACAAAAGAGCTATGACAGCTGCTACCTACTTTTGTCTAAAATGGTGCCCTCCCTTTCTCATCTGGTTTCTGGGCAGCATTGTAGGGGATAGGGAAAAAGAAAAGTGTCCCTTTCTTGATTGAGTGAGCAGGCATCCTGATCCTCTCAGGGCTCTTGGCTAGAATCAAAGACAGTGTAGTCTTCTAGGATCTCCCTCAGGCTAAATCTCCAGTGTCATGGGCAATTACAGTCTGATCTCACCTTCCTCTCCAAGCTGGCACTTTTTTGGCTCTGTGCTGTTGAGGTTTTGTGCTGTGTCTGTGCTCATTGCTGCACATTTGCACCTTCCACACAGTTCCATGATGTCTCTCCTCCTGCTGCAGAATCTCCAATGGAGATTTTCCTCTAACCCTCTCCTGAGAATGCACTTTCTCCACTTTTTAAAAACTATTTTCCCCTAGCCTATAGCAGCCCATCCTTTCCCTATTCTACTATCTTGCAACCCAGAATTTCTTGTAAGGCTAATTTGGTAATGGTGAAGTCTTTTTTTTCTTTTTTGCTTATCTTGGAGATACTTTATTTCACATTTAGTTTTTAAAGATAGCATCACTGCTTATAATATTATTGGCTGGAAGATGTTTTTTCAGACCTTGAATACAACCTCTCACTCTCTTCTGGCCTATAGAGTTTCTAATAAAAAGTTTTCTGTTAGGGTGTTTTTTCTTTTTATGTAATTTGACACTTTTATTATCTTTAACATTCTCTACTTGTCTTTATTTTTTTTGACAACTTTTCTACAATATACCTTGGAGAAGATTTTTTTGGTTGAGTCTTATTGGGGTATTTTGTGTTCCTTGTATCCTGATGTCCCTGTCTCTTTCAAGACCAGGAAAATTTATGACTACTATTTCATTTAATAGCTTTTCAATATATTTTACTCATCTTCTTATTCAGAAATCAATATCATGTGAATATTTGTCCATTTAAATCATTAAACCCATATTTCACATAAACTTTGTTCATTCTTTTAAATAACTTTCTATTTGTTTTTTTCTACTTATTTGTTTTTCTTTTTTAAAGATTTATTTATTTATTTGAAAGTCAGAGTTACAGAGAGGCAAAAGCAGAAACAAAGAGAGAGAGGTCTTCCAACTACAGTTTCACTCCCCAGATGGACACATCAGCTAGAGCTGCACTGATTCAAAGCCAGGAGCCAGGAGCCAGGATCTTCTTCCAGGTCTTCCATATGGGTGTGGGGGTCCAAGGTCTTGGGCCACCTTCCACTGATTTTCCCAGACCAGAACAGGAGAGGTGCTGTGATCAGAAGTGGAGCAGCAAGGACTCAAACCATTGCCCATATGGGATGCTGGCACTGCACGCAATGGCTCTAACCACTACATCACAGCACTGGGTGGTTGGGCTATTTCAAAAGTTTTGTCCAGTGCTGACATCATAAATAAGAGTGCCAATTGTTAAATCAACAACGGGAGTCACTGGGTACATGCTCCCCAAGTAGGATCTCTGTCCTTAATGTGTTCTACTATGAAACTTAAAAACAACACTACTAGTCAAAAAAATACCCTATACCTTGTGTGGTTGTGTGAGTGCAGCCTGTTGAAATCCTTGCTTAGTATATACTAAGTTGATCTTCAGTATATGAAGGTAATTGAAAATGAAACTCAATGAAGGGCGGGATGGGAGAGGGAGTGGGAGAGGGGAGGGCCATGGGAGGGAGGGAGGTTGTGGGGGGAAGCCACAACAATACAAAAGCTGCACTTTGTAAATTCACATTTATTAAATAAAAAAATAACTATATAACAAACAAAAAAAAACAGAAAAAAAAGAACTTAGTACTTTACCCTTTTAGTATTTTTTATGTTCTACTTAAAACTATTGGTTAAACTCTATAATTAATACACAATTACTCTTAGGTGTTTAATTAATGCTATAACTAGTACTCAAATAGTATTTTACACTTTGTGTTTCTGTGTGGGTGCCAACTGTTGAAATCTTTACTTAACATATGCTAAATTGATCATCTGTATATAAAGATAATTGAAAATTAATCTTGATATAAATGGAAGGGGAGAGGGACTAGGAGAGGGGAGTGTTGTGGGTGGGAGGGAAGTTATGGGGGGGAAGTTATTGTAATCCATAGCTGTACTTTGGAAATTTATGTTCATTAAATAAAATAAAATATAAAAAAGTTTTGTCCAGATAATAAATCCTTTCTTCCACTTGATGTATTCTGCTTTTGAAACTATTATATTTTTACTTCACCAACTGAAGTTTTCACTTCCAGTATTTCTACTTTGTTATTCTTAATGATTTGTATCTCTCTAGTGAAATATTCATTCATTTCAACATTGCTCTCTCCATTTCTCTTGCATCTCATTAAGTTTCCTCACAATCATTATTTTGAATTCTAGTTCTGCAATTTCATTGATTTTGTTTAGATGATGATCTAATTATGGAGAAATCCTGTGTGCTTTTGGTGGTGTCTTGCTACATTGCTTCAGTTTTACTTGGTCCCCATGTTGATGTCTTTGCATCTGATGTACTAATCCCTTCTCTATGGAGCAAGTTTTATTAGAAAAGATTTTATGGTTTAGATGGCATGTAGAGTATCATTTAATTTGTTGCTTTGTCTTTGATTCTAGGTGAGCCCACAAGGGTAGCCTTTGAGTGATTTCTTTTTATTCAGTGTCAGATGTGTCTATAAGTGACACAGTGGTCTATTCTGATGTAGTTCATAGGATAGAAGTGTGACTTGGAAGTGAATGTGGACTTTCAAGTTGCGTATATTCAGTCCCCAGAGAGTTTGGTGCATTACACTAGGGATTGTGATTGCCAGGGTCTAATTTTTGTTCATATTGACAAAAAGCTGACTGTCCCATTGTCTCACCAGAGAGCTTGGGAGATTTGGGGGGCATTTGGCACCAATATCTGGGGATCTATCACTGTATGATGTGACTGGTTCCTTCTTCAGGTCTTGCTGAGAAAGTGGCAATGGTGCTCAGACTGGTAAAACCAACATTCCTAGTCCCTGGACTGAGAGATGTGAACTGAACCATATCCAGTCCTACAGAATGAGTATAAGGTATACAGAATATTTTGCAGTGGCAGATATAGGTTCAGAATAGAATGCAGACAGATCTTCCTTGGGGTCCACAGGGCCAATTCTAGTTGAGTGGAGCAAATTAGTACTGATTTTTACAGTGCTAGAGTATCCAGGAACCATGGAATCATTATTTAGATCTTTCAGAGTATGAGTCAGGTGTGGGGGATAGTGATAGCCACCTATCTGAAGCAAAGTGATGTAGATAGAGCACTCCAGATATCACATGTGCAAATCACTCCAAAGTTTATAACATAAATGTCAACAGTCCCAGTTCTGCAAGTCAAAGAAACTGACCCCAGTTCTCACAAGACATACATGGATTTTTTTTTTTTTTTGCTTTGTGCCCATGGCTCCTAGCACTATGGTCTAGGAAGTAATGCGGGAACTTCCTCATGTCAGATCCAGATATTTTGGGGGCTACTGTTCTTGCTATTCCCAAGTAGCAGAAGAGAACTCCCCTGAATCATATAGAGTCAATGGATACAGCTTTTGGGATTATGCCCAAAACTCCTACTGTCACAGGGGGCAAGACATCTGTTCTATATGGTGTGAGTTGCTCTGACTCTGTTCTTGTCACTTCTAATAGCAGCAGAACAGATATTAGCTGCATGACCCTGGAAAGTTGAGTCTGGTGTTCTGCAGATGTAGGGGACGGGAGGGAAGCTAGGTGGCTTCATTTTTCAGAACCAAATTGTTGCTCAGACATGGTTGGCTCCCAGTTAGCATGAGTTAGGGACTGTAAGATTCCTCAGGCTGGTGCCATGGCTCACTTGGCTAATCCTCTGCCTGTGGCACCAGCGCCCCAGGTTCTAGTCCTTGTTGGGGCACCAGATTCTGTCCCAGTTGCTCCTCTTCCAGTACAGCTCTCTGCTGCAGCCCGGGAGGGCAGTGGAGGATGGCCCAAGTGCTTGGGCCCTGCACCTGCATGGAGACCAGGAGGAAGCACTTGGCTCCTGGCTTCAGATCAGAACAGTGTGCTGGCCCAACAGCCATTTAGGTTGTGAACCAATGGAAAAAGGAAGACCTTTCTCTCTCTGTCTCTCTCTCTCACTATCTAACTCTGCCTGTCCAAAAAAAAAAAAAAAAAAAAAAAGATTCTCCCTCAAGTGAAACTGCCACCAATGGGGCACAAAAAACAACTTTTTACAGTGGGAAGGTGGTAATTCCCAGCTGGCAGCTGGCTGTGCCACACAGCTGGCTGCAGACATCTCTCTGTCCTCAATCCTTATGATGTTCAATGGAATCTCTTTTATGTTTTATCATTTCTTCACTGGTGATATATGTCACAGATGTGTCTACTCTACACAGCTTCATGAGGAGCTATACTAGTGGAACTTCCTTATAGTGACTATGATGCTGGGATGGGCACCCTGATTAAACCATCCTTTGAAATCTGGGTGGAAGTCTCTGTCTTCATGGATTTGTTGGTCTTCACTAAATAGGTGTACTCTGAGGCTGCATGCTGATATTGTTGTCCAGACTACAGTGACACACTTGTTGTAGATTTCCTCAGCATATGTTTCACCTTGCTGGCACCTATGCTGTTTTGTAAATTCCTCTGGAATTCAATTCTTACACTTTCACTTTATATTTCTCCATAGAGGTCTTCCTGCCATTAAGTACAACTCAACCTGGCCTTACATGCTCCTGTTTGATGTCACAGAGACATCAAAGACTGTAAGATTATCTTATCTCTTCAGTGCTATATGCCTCCAAAACCAGTGCTACATGGAAAATGTCAAGCTCTGACATCAACAGATGACACACCTGCAATTTCTTAAAAAAAATTACTGTTTCTTGGAAGATTTTGAAACATTTCTTCACTTCTGTGAATTTGATGTGGCAGTGATTGAAAGAGCAACTTCAAATACCTCTATGATGCCTTCTGGATCTTTCTCCATTGTCTTGCTTATTAACACGTGATTGTCTTTTGTCTGAATTGACATTTTTAACAAGACTTTTGTCATTGACATCTGCCTGTCCCAAACATAAGAGTGCTTCTTCTTTCATTCTCTGGCCAACCTAGGAATTTTCCAAGTATTTTTGCCCTGTTCCCTTTGGCTACTGATTATCACTGTAAAATATATGATTAACACCCATGCCACCATTTGAATATATTATGGCTTTGAAGTCCCCTCTGCCAAAATAAAATCAATACACAGTCTTTAAACTCAGCATCACACACTCTCAAGACAAGGATGAAAAACAGTGAAGTTATTTGCCACCACGTAACATACATAGTTTTCAGTTCAGTTCCCCATAGGAATCTCATTTCCATCTGAAATCTCATCAGTATGGCCTTTACTGTCCACATTTCTACCAGCATTCTAGTCTTCTGAGCCCTTATCATAAATTTATGATTTCTCTAGCCTTCTCCAATTTCTTACAACCTTTCACATCAAAGCAATTTCAAAGGTTCCTCCACAACCTCATGTACAATTAATTGCATAACTCAACTTCTTGGCACCAATTTTCTGAATTACCCCACTATTTGTTATTTTACTAAACTACCTGAGAGAAATTTCTTTAAAAAAAGTTTGTTTCATCAAGATGCAGTGGCTTCCATAGTTATATGAGATTAGGTATCATAATTGCTAACCAGGTTCTTGCAGGCCCACAGATATAATTCTAAACAGAAGCATAATATGGTGGACAGTGAAAACAGGATTTACATAATAAATCAACCATTGTTTTGACTTACTCAATTGTGATGTCATAAGCCACCACTGTGATGTGCTAAAAATTGTGATGTCATAATAAATCATGATATCCTAAAAACCATTGTGATTTCATAATCAATTGAGAGGTCATAAAACCACTGTGATGCCAGAAATAATTGGGAGGTCATAAACCAACAATTATGATGTCTTAAATCAATCATTTTTGTCATAATCTACTGTAATGTCATAAACCTCCATTGTGATATCTTAAATAATCGTGGTGTCCTAAAAGCTATTGTAATGTCATAATGAAATGTATTTTCAAAAACTATTGTGATACCATAAAAACACTGTGATGTTATAAGCTAAGATTGTGATGATGATTTTGTCATCATCAATTGTGATGTAATAAACCATGATGATATCATAAAAATACAATGTGTTGTCATAATTGTGAAATAAAAATAATTGTTATGCGGCCAGTGCTGTGGTGTAGTGGGCTAAGCCTCCACCTGTAGTGCTTGCATCCTATATGGGTGATGGTTTGTTTCTCAGCTGCTCACCTTACAAATCCCACTCTCTACCTATGGCCTGGGAAAACAGTGGAAGATGGCCCAAGTGCTTGGACCTCTGCACTTGTATGGAAGACCCAGAAAAAAGCTCCTGGTCCCTGGCTTCATATATGTTCAGCTCCACCCATTGTGGCAATTTGGGCACTGAACCAATGGCTAGAAGACCTCTCTGTCTCTGTCTCTGTGTCTCTCTCTGTAACTCTACCTCTCAAATTAATAAACAAAATCTTTTTAAAAATAAAAGAATCATTGTTATCACAAATTTACCATTGTGATGTCATAATAGATCATGAGATTATGAAAATAATTTTATCATAAAAATCATTTTGTTCAAAATCAATTCTGATGTTCTAAACTGCAATTTTAATGTCATAAATATTCAATTCAGATGTAATAAACCTATATTGTGATGTCATAGAAAACCTGATGTCATATCATAAGGAATTGGGATTGATAATTCTAAGAGTATGACATCATAATCAGTGATGTCATAAATCGATGTTTTGGTATCATAATCTGTTGTGATATCACTAACCATTGTGATGCTATTAACCAATAGTGTGATACCACAAATTTACCATTGTGATATCTTTTTTTTAAAGATTTTTTTGGAAAGTCAGTTACACAGAGCAGGGAGAGGCAGAGAGAGAGAGAGAGAGAGAGAGGTCTTCCATCTGATGGTTCACTCCCAAATTCGCTGCAATGACTGGAGCTGTGCTGATCTGAAGCCAGGAGCGAGGAGCTTCTTACAGGTCTCCAATGTGGGTTCAGGTACCCAAGGACTTGGGTCATCTTCTAATGCTTTCCAAGGCAATAGAAGAGAGCTGTATCAGAAGTTGAGGAGCCAGGACTTGAAGGCATGCCCATATGGGATGCTGGCACTTCAGGCCAGGGCGTTAACCTGCTGTGCTACAGTGCCGGCCACTCATTGTGATATCTTCAGGCAACCATTCTGCTATCATAATTAAGCATGACTTCATAAAAACCAGTGCAACATCACAAATCAGATCATCATAATTAATTGTGGTGTCATAAACCACCACCATTTTGATGCCATAAATCAAGTGTGATGTCATAAATCATCATTATGATATTGAGATTGATTGTGATATCATTAAAACCATTTAATGTCATACACCAATAATGGTATGTCATAATTCAAACATTGCAATATAATAAACCATGGCATTGTCATGATCAATGAGAAGATATAAAATGTGACATCATAAGCCTACCATTGCAACATCAAAATTAATTGTGCTGTCATAAAACATTAATCATTTAAAACATTTATCATAAAACATGTATCATTTAATTTTGGTGTCACAAATATAGCTATGCCATAAAACATTTATGTGGTGTCATAAATAGACCATTGCTTTGTTAAAACCATTTGTGATGTCAAAAACCCATTGTTGTTAGTCCAGTATGGTGCCACAGTAGATTAATCCACTTCCTGTGTCACCAACATCCCATGTGGATGCCAATCCAAGTATCAGCTGCTTCTCTTCTTTTCTAGCTAACTGCTCATGAAGCTGGGAAAGCAGCAAAGACGGCCCAAATAATTGAGACCCTGTGCTCATGTGGGAGATCCAGTTGAATATCTTGGCTCCTGTCTTTGGACTGGTATAAACCTACAACTGTGAAGATATAATCCATTCTGTCATAAAATGGTCATTGTTTCAAAATGAACAATTGTGACATCAACTGAGATGCCATAATCAATTCTCATGTCATAAATCATGATTGTCGGGGCTGGAACCATGGCTCACTTGGTTAATCCTCTGCCTGTGGAGCTGGCATCCCCTATGGGCACCAGGTTCTAGTCCCAGTTTCTCCTCTTCCAGTCCAGCTCTCCACTGTGGCCCAAGAGGGCAGTGGAGAATGGCCCAAGTTCTTAGGCAACCAAGTGCACTGCAAAAGCATGGGAGACCAGAAAGAAGCACCTGGCTCCTGGCTTCAGATCAGTGCAGCACCGGCCATAGTGGCTATTTGGGGAGTGAACCAACAGAAGGAAGACCTTTCTCTCTGTCTCTCTCTCTCACTGTCTATAACTCTACCTGTCAAATAAATTTTAAAAAATCACCACTGTTATGCTATAAACCTACCATTATGATGTTATGAATCAATTATTGCTTAGTCATAAATCATGACTGTGATATAAGCCAAAATTATGCCATAATAAGTTGTGATGTCCTAAAAACCATTGTTATGTCATAATTTTACATAAAAAACATGATATAATAAACAATTGTTATGCCATAAATATAGTATTGTGATGTCATTAAGACATTGTGATGTCAACATCAATTATAATGTCCTTAAAGACATTTTGATATAATAAATATGTATTGTGACCTCATAATTAATTGTGATGTCATAAAATCCACTGTGATATCTTTAATCTACTATTATGACTTCATAATCAATTGTGATAACATAAACCAACATTAAATCATAATCAATTGGGGCCAGCACTGTGGTGCAGTGGATTAAAGCCCTGGTCTGAAGCACCGGCATCCCATATGGGCACCAGGTCTAGTTCTGGCTGCTCCTCTATCAATCCAGCTCTCTGCTATGGCCTGGGAAAGTAGTAGAAGATGGCCCATGTCCTTGGGCCCCTGCACCCACGTGGGAGACCTGGAAGAAGCTCCTGGCTTTGGATCGGTGCAACTCTGGCTGTTGTGGCCATCTGGGGAGTGAACCAGTGGATGGAAGACCTCTCTCTCTGTCCCTACCTCTCTCTGTAACTCTGTCTTTCAAATAAATAATGTAAATCTTTAAAAAAATCATAATCAATTGTGCTGTCATGAAAACCATTGATATCAAAAGCAATATTATCATGCCATAAAACAACTCTTGTGATGTTTTAAAACACTGTATTGTCTTAATCAATTATTGTGTCATAAATCATCACTGTGATATTGTAAATGTATTATTGTGCAATATATTTTAATGTCATAAAAACATTGTAAGTCATCCAGAGTCATGCTGTGCATTCATATTTAGAAGCATTGCTGTGCTACTATTGTCCTGAACTTAGAGTTTAGAACATATTCCTGTTTTCACTTTGTGAGGATACCTTTTGGCACACCTACAGCACTATCACTGGGCTCCGGAGGCAGCAAAAATCCAGCAAGGAAGTACCTGATGACACATGTTTTATGTGCATCTAGAAAAGCATGATTTCTTTATAAATTCACCACATAATAGGGACAATAAAGAAGAGAGACATCTTAGGAATATTTCAAAATGGCAGAATATGGAATGAATAGAATTGTACTAGGCTAGCGAAAAATAGTCAAGAAAAAAAAAAAAGGAAGTACACTCTCAGGGAAAAATTGGAGAAAAAACCACACTAGAAATTCTACAAAGAAAGGGTAATACTGTATACATATGTAGAAAGTGCAAATTCTGGCTGGCGCCATGGCTCACTAGGCTAATCCTCTGCCTTGCGGTGCTGGCACACCAGGTTCTAGTCCTGGTTGGGGTGCCAGATTCTGTCCTGGTTGCCCCTCTTCCAGGCCAGCTCTCTGCTGTGGCCAGGGAGTGCAGTGGAGGATGGCCCAAGTGCTTGGGCCCTGCACCCCATGGGAGACCAGGAGAAGCACCTGGCTCCTGGCTTCAGATCAGCACGGTGCACTGGCCACGGCAGCCATTGGAGGGTGAACCAATGGCAAAGGAAGATCTTTCTCTCTGTCTCTCTCTCTCACTGTCCACTCTGCCTGTCAAAAAATAAAAAATAAATAAAAAATAAAAAATAAAAAAAAGAAAGTGCAAATTCACAGCACAAACACAGACACAACACATGACTGCAGCAGCTGATAGAAGCAAGCAGAGGCTTGGAGACAGAGGTGAGACTAGATTGTAGTATTTTGTGGTGATATAGCCGGAGGGAGAGCATTGCATGAGTTAGCCTGGAGCCTAGAAGCAAGAGATTATCAGTGGCAGACCCAGTGGAAGTAAAAGAGCCACATTTATCTCACCTTATTCTGCCCACAATAGCACCTGCTTCCTGCTGAGAAAGTGAGAACACCACTTTTGGGCTTTTTATATGCAGAGCAAGCGGCTGAGATAAGATGTCATCTTCTCAGCAGTACTGGTGGCAGTGGCAGGGAGAGGGCAACATTTGACGAGTGGCTCTTGTATATGAGTGTGATCCAGAGATTCTAGCAGAGGGAAAAATCCACAGTCTCCATAGACTTTGAGCCTGGCTGGGAGGATTGACAGGTGGAGGTGAACCCACTCTGTGCTCCCAGCCCTCCAACATACCATAGGCTCCAGGGCTCAAGCCACCTAGACAGAGGTGGCTCAGGAAACATCTGCCTCTCTTTTGACTTAGAGAGGCTGGCAGAGAAGAGCCAAACCTCTGCACCCAATGACTGAGGGAGCCTTGTGAGCTGAGACTGTGGGGACTTGGTGTCTACATGAGAGGCTACAGGGTATAGCTGTGTCTCTGGGCATCACTGGGAGTGGCCCCAAATGATCAGTGCTCCACATGATCAGTGGTTGCCTGGAGTGGGTCATGGCTGTGGGAACCATACTCAGGGTGAGGACTGTGCAGATAATTTCTGTGGTTCATACAGCAGTGCAGATAAGTGTTGAACACACTGGTAACTAACAAGTGGGCATCACTCAGCTTGGAGGAGAAGAGGTGAAGGGGTGATCGCATCAACAGAGGTGAAAAATTCCCTCTTCTTTTAAAAAGAATGGATCTTCTAAGCCCAACTTGGGTCTTACCCTAGATAATTGCCCCAGCCTATAGTACTGACCAGAACTCCTGGGCCACGCCCAGCACACACTTCTTGGTGTTCCCTGAAAGTGCAGACATTCTACTAAGCCATAGATGAATAGGTCAGAGATAAAAGACATCAAAGGAAAAAAACCAAGACACCACAAATGCCTAAAAATAAATGTAGCAATTCAAGAAACAAGAGAAAGGAAGACACCTTGATCCCCACAAAGGAACACAACAATATATCAACATTAGAATGTGAAGATGAAGAGATTAATGAAATACAGGAAATGAATTCCAAAGATTAAACCTAGGATTAATCAAAAGCAATCTGAAACAAATCCACGAACAAAAGAAAAATGTACATGAAATGAATCAATTTTTCCCATGAAATTGAGATTTCAAATATAAATCAAAATGAAATATTAAATGAAGAACTCAATAGATCAAATATAAAATGATCAAATATAAATAAATATAAATATAAAATAGATCAACTATAAAGTGGAAAAGCAGTGGAAAGCCTTAACAAAAATTCAGTGAGCCATTGGTATTATCTGAACTAGAAGACAAGTCTTTTGAAATCTTTCAGTCAGATAAAAGAAAACACAAAGAAGAAAATAGAAAACTTAAGAACAGTGTTGGAGATTTATAAGATACTATCAAGCAATCAACATACAGTTCTTAGGAGTTCCAAAAGCCCTGGATATAGAGAATGGACTAGAAGGCCTATTTAGTGAAATAACTACAGAAAACAACCCCAATTTAGAGAACCAAAGGGACATCTAATAACAGGAAACACAGACAACTCCTAATAGACATGACCAGACATGACTTCACCATGACACACTGTAGTCAAACTTTCAAGAGAAAAACAAAGAAAAAGGTTTAAAATGTGCAGAAGAGAAATGTCAGACTACTATCAGAGGATCTAAAATTATAATCAAAGCTAACTTCTCATCAGAAACCATATAGGTTAGAAAAGAATGGGGAGATATAGTCCAAGTCTTAAGAGAAGAAAACTTCAACCCAGAATGCTGTACCCTGCAAAGCTCTCATTTATGAATGAAAGTGAAATAAACACCTTCCATAGCAAACAGAAATTAAAATAATGTGTCAATAATTCATCCAGCTTTACAAAACATGCTTAAGGGTGTTACACCCAGAAGCACAGAAAGATAACCATGATTATGAAAGAATATGAAGGCAGAAAACACTCAATGAAAGTACAAAAGTAGGCCGGCTCCATGGCTCAATGAGCTAATCCTCCGCCTTGTGGTGCTGGCACACCGGGTTCTAGTCCCAGTCGGGGTGCCAGATTCTGTCCCGGTTGCCCCTCTTCCAGTCCAGCTCTCTGCTGTGGCCCAGGAAGGCAGTGGAGGATGGCCCAAGTCCTTGGGTCCTGCACCCACATGGGAGACCAGGAGAGGCACCTGGCTCCTGGCTTTGGATCAGTGCGATGCGCCAGCTGCAGTGCACTGGCCGCGGCAGCCATTGGAGGGTGAACCAACGGCAAAAGGAAGACCTTTCTCTCTCTGTCTCTCTCTCTCATTGTCCACTCTGCCTTTCAAAAAATAAATAAATAAAAAAATTTTTTAAAATCACAAAAGTAATCCAAAGTAAACAATATAAATATTTATGAAAAAATGGCAGGGTCAAATCGTTATTTGTCAATAGTCACATTGAATGTAAATGGCCTCAACTCTCCAGATAAAAGATACGGACTGGCTGACTG